CGAAGGCTTTACATTACTCGACTTCGGTTTCCCTTCGCAGCTCAGTGGTGGTTGATTCGAATTTTTCATGTTTTTACAAGCCTTCCATTCCAAGCCTTGATGACATGTGAATCGGCTTGAGGTATTTTTCTGCTTAAAAATAGTAGATCTGAAGTAGTCTCAAGGGATTTATGTAGTAACCATGGCATTTGAATCGCTTAGAGCACGAGACTCGAGGTCGTGAACGCAAAGGTCGGACGACCTTTGCTTTGGCTGACACTTCATTTGAATACCAAGCTCGATGATATTTATGGTAAAATAAGTCCTATAGTGTTTTGAGCGATCTAGTGCAAATAGGTAATGTAAAGTATGTGCCCGGCCGGGCGGTATTAGCCTTGTCTTTATTCATATTCATCTTAAAATCCTATAGCTAAGATTTAAAGAGCCATTTTTTATTTCGTACTTGTTTTGCTATTAAGGGATTTTCCAATCAATTCAAAGTGCTCTTCTATTGGATATTTAATTGTTCTTCCGTTCAAGTTTTGGACTAATCGTTGCTTACACTTACCCTTCATGTGCCATTTTCACACCTCACGCGTTTTGTGCTTGTGTTACCGTCTTATTGGTGCGCTCTAATTCCTGTGCGCGAGCCCTAGCACGAGGTCCCCTGGTGTTTGTGTTGTGTGTACCTGACGCCTGTATAATAAGTGTGTATACGACCCACCTTTTGATGTAGACCCACTCGTATACAACCCACCTTGTGATGTGGACCCACCCGTATACAACCCAACTCTTGATGCAAACTCACCCCCTATAGTCAACAAGGACTCGTCGTAGGCGAGGCTCAGCAGGATTGTTCAGAGTGTTCAGACGCACTCGAGTCCGACGCTTCATTACTGCGCAAATGTCATGTTCAGCGTTCGATCTCGCCTTTGATAGCCGTGAACGGTCAATTATGCGCTTGGTTGGGCGCACGATCGCCTCGCCATACTCCTGTTATTGCTCGTATAAACCATGGGTGGTTTATAGGCGGCAAATTAATCGCCAACGTTTGGCCGCCCCTGACTCGGCTCCGATTTCCACCCGTGACTGTGACGGGCTTATATACAGCATCGTGCGCGTATCGCTCATCATTCGCGAGTCTCTGACCATTTTCCACCGAGCCTTATTGGGCTCGCTTCTTTTACCATTCTTCGTCTTTTACTTCATTAAGTTTCTGGGGTTCCATTAGCTTTTCGGTCGAAAAAGAAATTCCCTCCTAAAACCAGAGTTGTTATGCCGGCTAGCCGTGATTTAGTCCTTGCGGTCGAATCTTGCAGCCGCTTTGACTTTTCATGTTCCAAGTTAAAAGTTCCAAATAGGTTTCTCAAATGTAGATATTATTATTTTTTCCGATATTATTTGCGAGAAATTTTTTTCCATTGTCAAAGTAGGTGGTCGGTACTGAACCGTCGAGCCGCGTTGGATACGGACATCATCTGTCGTGTTGATTCTCCATTTTACGGTCTCGTGTAAAGTTATGCCAAGAAATGAAGTCTTCCGAGTAATTAATTTAACAGTAAATATTCTGAAAGGCAGATTCTCGATTATTCTAGCCAGGCTGCCTACAATACATTCTGCAACACCTGTTTTATTTTTATTAGCGAACTGAATGATTGTTGAATTGCATGCTGTCAGTGTAATTATACTATCTCGTAATCGTAATGCTTCTAACTTGGGTAGTACAGAGGAATGCTATTGGTGTATTTTTCACCCTATAGTAACACTTACAACAGGTATATACCTACTCGGGCAACGGGGCAAGTACCTAAATTGTTGAATAATTTAGCGTGGATTGCAGCTCAATCAGACACGGCAACGGAGACTCGAGCAGGGCTTGTAACGATCCTCCGATATTGGCTAACCGGTCGCTAGCCTCAGCCTTCGTTAATGGGATGAAAAGTGCACGAAACTAATGGACCTGAAGAGCAAGTGTGGGGGAAAAAAATTAATGGTCTTAGTGCTCCACCGTAGGGCGCCCCTCAGAGATCTGCACTAACTGTTCAATTAAACGAGGAGTATTGCGATAAGAACCTGACTTGGAACATTGTTACGACCTAATCCAGATTGCGCTTTCAACTTCACTTCGATAGTTGCATGGCACCGCTTTTTCTCAAGCCTCTCTAATTTAACTGCATTAAAGGCCGCCGTGCCGAATAATTTGCTTGTGTTCAGACTCCTGAATTCTTCTCTAATGCATCCTCTTGATGGATGGTTTCGCATTACACAAATGCAACCTGATAGCAGAAATTGTCTCTTCGCTGGCCTCTCAATCTCCCGCTAATTACTCGAAATATCTCGTGCTGTGGCTGGAGCAATTTCCTCTCTAGAAATCTAAATGCGTCGAGAATTTGCGTCACCTCCGCCTAAATATCAAGTCTTGGCTTAAATATTGCGCCATAAGGTCTCGTCAAACGACCGTCAGAAGCTCTTACAGCGCCACAATCTCTCATTTTTACCGCACGTAACTGCAGACTGTCATAAAAAATTCCGTCGCGCAGCCATCCGCTCTGCCCGACGACTTCAGCGTCGCGTCTCCTGCGTGAGTTACCGGCGATGTCCCGCCAGGCTGGTCTTGCTTTCCGCTTCTTATTTTACTCTTTTTTTTGTGAAATAGTTCCCTCTTCGCAAGTTTAGGTGGTGAATTGTTCATGTGTGAGTTTATCTTATTTGAGGCCTACTTTTGATGACATTTTTCTAAGTGCCTGTATCTTTTTATAAGAGGTATATCTTGTTTTCCTTTTCTATGCCGTTTCATCTTTTTGTTACTTATTTTGTTCATTCACGTGATTCATCATCCGGATAATTTTTTTCTTCCAAAACAATTCCTTTATAAATTATGTGCGTATTTACATCCTTATTTTTGTCTTTGATTCACAAGCATTAGCTTTTTTAACCGAAAATTAGTCTCCTCGCGGAACTCACGAGCGATAGCTAACATCCATATCCGCCTCTTTACTAGGAGAAGATTTTCCTCCATTTAATGAAGCCATCGGATTTTCAACGTTAATCCCGCGCGTAAAAAACCAACGGTAATCCATCACGCGTTTATAAAACGACGAGAAAATCTTGGCCTGCATTTAAAACTCCAATCTTTGAGCACCGTCGAATTTTCCGAGCTTTACCGGCTGTGAATAATAAAACGCTGAACCGCAGCCTCGTGTTTATTCGAGCCCCCCTTGCGATCGTTCGGCCCCCGATTTATCTTGGCCCCGCTGACGCTGAAATATTGGGCCTGCGCTGCAAAGTTTGCCGCTCGCAGCCGGCGCTTACTTTTGCCCTCGAGCATTCGTCTCCCGCGCCCACTTCGCGGGGGACGGCGGTGAGGGGCCTGGAGGGGCACCCATTTTTAGATGTGTGTGATCCCATCCACGTGTACATTTTGTGTATGAAATGGGACTTGTTAAGCAATGTTTAGGTAAATATGCAAGGATAGTTTCGGCGCTATTAAGAAGGCTTGTAAGAATCTTTTGCTTGTTTTCACAGTATGTATACTCGTACACATGTATATATACCTAAAGCAATATTAAGGAGTAAATGCTTACTGTTGGTCATCGCGCGCACCTCGGCTTATAGCGTTACGTAATGTATTATTTAAGTAACACTAGACAATTGGTGCTAGACTATAGACTGTAAATGGAGTAGAAAGTTTTGCTCAGTTATAGCGCTCAGCGTTCGGTCGTCGAGTGGTTCGCTGGTGCGGTCGCCACTGCGGTGTGCGGTGCTCTGCGGTTTGTGGTCACCAACTCAGCGTTGTTAGCCGTGACCACAGCACCACCACAGCGCCACCACAACCCTCACCACACCCATCACTGCACTTCCCAACCACACACGTCCTCGCGTGCTGCCCTCCTAACCAATCAAATTTTAATTATGAATCGCTTCAAATAATATTCATTAATAATTTACATAATTTTAATTTACTGAGAGTAAAGTTTTTTCATCCATTTCCTTATTAAAGCTTTTGTAAGATGTCAAAAATTCTCCTGAAATTAAATAATTTATGAATTGTTTGTGCACTCGGCACACTAATTCTCATAATAAGCTCACGACGTGGATATTGCGCAAGCCTCCCAGGCGACTTTCCAACCTCGTTAGTGACACAAGCATTGCTATGTATGTTGTGCCTCTGTTTGCTTCAGCATAACAAAATTCTCCTCTGAATTTAAAATGACCATTTTTAATTTAATTCATATTCATAATTGCGGTCTCATTCAAAATAACATATGTACCTATTCATAATTGCATACCTATTCTTAATTGCTTCACAATTGCGTACCGGTTTGTAAATTTTTCCTAATTCTTGCGTGCGTAATATTAATCTATACCGCACTAATTTGAACTTAATAAGCAAAGTCCCGTATATATATGGTCGGTAACTGTATGAGTTTCTGTCGCAAGCTCACAGACGAGCGCCTAATGTCGCACACCGCCGCAATTCTGCCACCATACGAGAACGTCGCAAGTCATGGGAATTTCGCAGTCTTTTGCTTGTCTTTGTTTCTAGGGGGCTCGTTAATGTGACCCCACATTCCTTCCTGGGAATATTAGGTGGCGTATCGTCAATCACTATAATCGCTTTGTCGTCGACTGTTTCTCGGCGACAATTTTCATATCTTTTCCTAAATTCCTGAATCTTTTTCCGTAAATTCCGGAACGTGCCCTGCAGCTCGATGTCGCAGCTCTACCAAGCTTGATTTAGATCGAGAAAACTATTTATTTGTATGTAATGGTACAGATATGTTGAATGTGCAGTTACTTACTCGGTAATATTGACAAGACCTAAAGTATACCACCATCCACTGAGATGTTAAATTAACTTGGCTCTGAATCTCTGTAAATATTTTATTGAATCGTTGTAATGTAATATTTCATATAGCATCGTTCCTGTTAGTTTATGTTCATTGCGATGTTTCTTAGCTAACTGATTTTTTTTTCTTTCTTTACACGTTGCTGCGCTCGTGGGGATAACGAAACTACAGCAGAGAGACATGTAAGTGCAATCTAGCTTCTACAAAAAACGTATACATTCCCTATGTAATTTTTAATTGGATGAATATTTTGAATCCTTTTACCATTTTTTTCGCTATTAATTAATATTTCGTGAATTTGTGACTATTTCAACAGATGATACGTTATAGAAAAATTAACTCAATGTAATAGAGATTAGAAACTGACAATATTTTTTTTCTTGTCTTTTACTTTTTAATTACATTTCTACATCTCCCGCATCACATTTTTCTGGGAAAAATTCTTCTCATGATCACGGAGCAAATTTTTCGAGTATTTAGTTCAACTATCACATCGTGATGATGCAGATGAAATACTATAAGCTCATCGTCTATGAGCTACAAATTGTGGATGAAATAATATAATAAAAATTTCACATCCAAATATAATCTTTATAATATTTAAATTACAGAATAGGCTAATCTTCGTTAATAAGCTAATCTTCTTCGCACGACTTTCTTTAATACTCATCCCTTACACTCACATCGCTATCTTCATGGCATTCTTACCTAACTTTCCCCCTTCCTTCTCCCCACAGAGAAGCAGTCTTTCTCCGGGTGCTGGGGAGAAATATCGCGGACGTTCCCCAGAACCTGAGCCCAAGAAAATCAAACGAGAAGAAAATCACGTGAGTTGCAAGTTCATTTCTCCCTTTTTATTTAGATTCCTATAGAATATATTACTATATCACCTGAATGAAATATACTACGTTTCGTATTGCAGCTCATAATTTTTCTATGCGTGTAAGTAGGAAAAATAATTAAACTAGAATATTACTAGATTCGCATTATTTTGCGCAAGACGCTTTAGTTGCGTTTGCTGTAAATTTTTTTTTTCGGTTGTCTTTTAGACGCCTTCAGGAAATCTCTGCGATTTCTTAAAATAATTTCATCCTCATTTAATCACATGTGGGAAATTATTATTCATAGTTCAATTAATAGAAATGCCGACTATAGTCGAAATTATTACAAATTTCATGAGGAATGAATTTTTTTTTTCGACAGGAGCGCGTGGTGCCGAAAGCGGAGCAAGACGTGGTGGTCGACGATCAGCAGGTGAGTTTCAACTCGGTGTTGAATGCGGAATAAAGTGGGACTTAACTCGTAGATATTTATGATTTGAATAAAGTCAATACATGAATGGTAATTTCATGTTTCTGCTATTTGGAGATTTTTGTACCCCTTTGGATTCGCAAAAACATTTGTATTGATATGCATTTGACCAGGCTAGCATAACATTACATCTCCCAATTTGCTATCCCGGACTTACACTTACCTTGAACAGACAAAGTTGCGTATCTCATTGCATATGAAGATATTCTCTCACACTCGACGAGCTGTGGGAACCACGTAACTGGCCTCTTAAGAAGGCCATCTTGTGCTATCGCATCATTCGTAATGTACATTACTCTGGAGTGCGAGCACTTCAGACCATATCGCTCGCCGTGTACGGTGTAGGTTATTATTCCTGTATCCTGAATGCGCGCACCTAACACTTGTCGATCGGCTAGAACTACGTGCTGTTTGGACCAAAAGATGATTTTCCCGCAACACCAAGTTATCTTATGCATGAAACATCACAAGCGTGTGTGCTGGCTCGAATAGGAGGGAGAGGAGGGCGCTTCACGATCTTATCTACTGTGGTTGTGGAGACTCGTTGCTGATGGCCATGATTGTTCTTTTTCTTATTCGTTCCTGATATGCCGCTTTCTTCTCTCCTATCTGAAATCGTGCTATGAGGTCTAGTGCAAGTTTGAATAGAACAATACCTGGCATATGACCTGCGTAAAACTCTTACACAATTTTCAAGGTTTCTATGCTTTGTTGTGTTGAAATGTTTTCGAGCTTGTGTATGATTTCGAGAAAATTAAAAAATTTCGACCGCTTAAGAGTTTAGAATTGTTTTAAATGTTCAAATCATTATTCTTACACACTACAACTGCACACTCGTACTAAAATGATTCTAACAGACCTTCAATAATCAAATCTTGTTTCTTCCCCACTGTCGGATCAGGATTCCAACGCAGCGGTGAGTCCTGCCGTGAACGGCACATCTTCACCGCGCGAGAACGGCGGCGTCGTCGCCAACATCAAGAAGTCGCCGCCCCTGGGCTCCGTCAGTCCCAGGAGCTCGGGTAGCTCGTCAAGCACACCGCAGGCACGCAAGGATGACACCAAACCTACAACACCTACGTCATCCTCCTCTTCATCCTCATCATCCTCTTCTTCATCTGCCATGAAGCCGGTCGCTAAGGCTCCGTCCATCCCGGGGGCGGTCGCTGCTCCGTATCCTCCTGGATATCCTCTACCAGAAGCTGGAGCCTCTGCAGCAGCAGCCGTTGCAGCCGCCGCTGCTGGATACCCTTATCCTGGCAGAACTCCTGGAACTCCTGCAGGATCCTTGGATCATCACGTTAGAGCATCTGGGCTTCACACTCTCCAGGGTGGAAAGCCGTAAGTTTTGCGAATGGTTCTTCCCGACTTGAGACGAGCAGCATTTCTTGTAAAACATTTTTAAGCCCCTGTAAAAAAATACTGATTATATTTCAGAAATAGCTTAGCGTAACATGTTTTATATAAAGATCTTAAGGATAGTCCTTAGATTTGATTATTGGTTTAGATTTACAAAGGGCCTCTGATTTAAATGGAATCCACCAAGAAAGTTGCCGTTCAATATTATTACTTATGCGGAAATCTATCAAGAAGTGTTCTCTATAGAACTTCTGCTGACCGATCTGTTTTGATCTTGCCCCCTCAGGGCTTACAGTTTTCACATGAGTGGCGACGGCAATTTGGCCCCTGTTCCATTCCCCCCGGACGCCCTTTTGGGGCCTGGGATCCCCCGTCACGCGCGCCCCATCAACACCCTCCACCACGGTGAGGTTGTCTGTGCCGTCACAGTGAGCAACCCCACCAAGTACGTCTACACCGGCGGCAAGGGTTGTGTCAAAGTCTGGGACATCAGCCAACCAGGCTCCAAGAGTCCCGTGTCTCAACTCGATTGTCTCGTGAGTCATGACTAATGTTCTGGCAAATTAATTATTTAACTTCTATTACACTATTTTTACAATAACAAATCCTAGATGGTTAGGAAATTCGTTTGAAATGTATTTTCTCAGTGTTTGAGGATAGTAATTTTGAAAATGGAAGCCGCTCAATTATGTGTTGAAGTAAAAAATTTTAACTAAAATTAATTTTAAGCTTATTCATTACGAAATATTTATTCAGTTAAAAATTCGTGTAATGACGTTTGTTACTGCCAATGTTGGTATCACAAATTTTGTCTGATTCATTTAGACGTCGGAAAATTCCTGTTTTGTTTTCTACCTTCAATGTTCGTGTATTATTTGATCGTTTACACACACCCTGCAGTAGTCTAAACGTCGCATCGGTGTTATATTTCTGCCACTATTTCCTTTCCGCGTTGTAGTTTCCTTTATGCTTTCAATTTGTCGACAGCTTTCCGCAACTCTCACCCTAAATTATTTTCGTGTAGCGAATTTGAAGCATCGTTTGACACTAAATTAGTTTCTGTAGCTCCCACCCTTCATCTCGTCACTGTTCGTATTACAGCAACGCGACAGCTACATCAGATCAGTGAAGCTGTTGCCCGACATGAGAACTTTGGTGGTCGGAGGCGAGGCTTCGACGCTCAGTGTCTGGGATTTGGCTGCCCCCACTCCCCGAATTAAGGCCGAGTTGACATCGGCCGCCCCGGCCTGTTATGCTCTAGCGATCAGCCCCGACTCTAAAGTGAGTCGTCGAGAGTCTTCTAGATTTGCTTCGGGAAACTTTTAGAATTTTCGAAGATATTCTCAATGGGTTACAGGGATGCTTGCTATATTTGAGTTTTTGATTTATTAGGCTTGAAATGTTACGCACGCTTGAAGCGAATAAAATGTCGGGAAGATTACGCAAGCACACTTATCATATTTATAAAAAGTAACTATATAAATTGAAACACTTCTAGGAGTGATTGTTTCTCAAAATGAAAGAGAGGAGCCGGATATGTTTATATATTGATTAAGTCAATGAATTACTCTAAAGAAATTTTCTTCGTTTTTACGTTATTTGGCAAGCACTAATGAATAAGTTTTTTTTTTCTTGCAGGTTTGTTTCTCATGCTGCAGCGACGGCAACATCGCCGTTTGGGACCTGCACAACCAAACTCTGGTACGACAATTCCAGGGCCATACAGACGGCGCCTCTTGTATTGATATTTCCCCTGACGGGACTAAACTTTGGACGGGAGGCCTCGATAACACAGTCAGATCTTGGGACCTCAGAGAGGGTAGACAACTTCAACAACACGACTTCAGCAGCCAAATATTCTCGTTGGGATTCTGTCCTACTGGCGAATGGTTGGCTGTCGGTATGGAGAGTTCGAACGTTGAAGTTCTTCACGTCTCAAAACCTGACAAGTACCAGCTTCATCTCCACGAAAGTTGCGTCTTGTCGCTCAAGTTTGCCGCTGCCGGCAAATGGTTCGTCTCAACGGGCAAGGATAATCTGCTGAACGCTTGGCGAACACCGTACGGAGCCTCAATCTTCCAGGTGAGAATTCTATTATTATTTTGACTGAAGTGGCAGTTATTTTATTATGAAACGTTGTATCAATTCAACATACTTTTTACAGACGTGTGTAACATTGAAATATAAAACTTAGGGGCCTGATTATGGGCCTGTATCCCATAATCATCTGTACTTTGGCATAAAGATGAATATAGCCTAGGTTAGCCCGCACGGCTGAGCCCGCACATTACAGTATCTTGGAGGTGTCTTATATTTTTTATTCTCTTCGCCAGTCGAAGGAATCGTCGTCCGTGTTGAGCTGCGACATTTCAGCGGATGATAAGTATATCGTTACGGGCTCTGGCGATAAGAAGGCTACCGTGTATGAAGTCATCTACTAAGTTCTACTAATGTCCAGTCGAGACTTTACCTTCTTCAATCTTCGATGTCGCTAATTGTGCTTATCGGTGCTGATATCAGGAGAAGGCAGGCGCTTCTTAAGCCAAACTTGTCTCGGACGTTTTTTCGATGTTGTTTGTGTTTGGTGGGAGTTAAGTTTGAGGCGCGTATGTTACTAAAGGTTGAGGACTAAATAATCACCTAGACTGCCATTGATGGTTAGGAATGTCTTACCTCATCACTGAAGCTCCCGTGAAGTGATAAATGCAGTTGTTTATACTCTGACGGAGTACCGTCGTTCAGATCTCGAGATGAGGAATTTTGCCGTCGCGAATGCAGTTGGATGAATGGAAGCGAAAGATGGTCATCTAAGTTAAGCATCCTTCTGGAGATATTAATTCATTTGAGTCTGCGATCATAAATGATCTTTGATGTATTAATCTGAATAACATATTGCCTGAGTCATTATTTGATTAAATCCAGTGAAGTGTCAGTCGAAATTTCGCACGAGATGAGGTATATCTAATCTAAATTATGACCTAAATGAATGGTTCTTTGAGGTATTTCCAGCATGCCACTGTAACAGTTTTATTCTATATTCAAAAATGTTTCGGGCCGGTGGCATGAAAAATTATTACTTTCCATTATTATACCAGTCATTCAATTAATTAAACGTCGATCCGGTCATGCAGCAGTATTTTGCTGGGTGGTATATATATGAGTGAGCTTAGCCTTCGCTATGAGTTGGATTCACCTTTGTCATGAGTGAGCCTTGCCTTCGTCATGAGTGAGCTTTGCCTTAGTCATGAGTGAGCTTTGCATTCGCCATGAGTGAGCTTTGCCTTCGCCATGAGTGAGCTTGTCCATATCATGATTAACCTTGGCATAACTGAGCTTTGGCTTCGTTCAAGTCTTGCCTCATTTCTGCCTTTGTGTGAAAAAAATCGAGTGGCCCATACCGGCAGACGATGACCTTTGTAAGTGTTCTAAGTACAGAATTATTAGGCACAATTATTTGAATTCGTATTATCTCTTTCATATTTATACTCTCTCACACTGACGTAAATGGCTAATACAAGCGCTAACCGAATTGAAACTTCTACCAGTAAAACAAGATATATAGACGTGCATTTCGCAAGAAAAATGTTGAAGTATTGAACTGGGGCGCTGTATGGATACGGTTTTTGATGAAGATTTAGCCTAGTGTTGAAGCTGTACACGAGGCGTAATATGTGCGTGCGTTGTGCAAATGTATGACATGCGGTGGATAGTCTCGACATGTCGCCGTTGAATTGAAGCGTCATTCACAAGATAGATTTTGCTCGTCGGATGACTTGTTACCTGAACAGATAGTAGGTACAGACATTAGATACTTGGCTGCTTTTTTACATACTAAGCTACTGTATCTCTGCTTCAATTCAGCTTAGTATATGTAACGTCATGATCTCCGTAGACTTTAGAACTCTGCATCTGCTATCCTAAATTAGATTCCCTGATAATTATTATGCAGAAATTTATAAAAAGCATCTTGTCGCTCGTCAATTCTCAACATTTCTTCGACAACATATTTGAATATAAGTTAATTGTTGATGTTACCACGTTTTTCTTAGCTCGCTTTCGTGTCTGTCTGTCTGTGATGATCAAATCTTGCAATCGACATTTCACCAACTTTCCCGCTAGCTAGCACTCTGAAACTTTTAGGGAAGCTCATCTCCCGATAACAATACAATAATCAATAATTTGTTGCACGTTTTCAGGCGTATTTATTACCGAACCTTTCTTTATTACAGCCACGCACCCAGATAAATACGGGAACAACAATGTATCCCCTCGAATACAATTTTCTACAGAACTTCGAAAAGAATTTTCTTTCGTGCATTTGCGTGGCCAACTGAAATAAAATGAATATTATGTAGGATGGTTGACCTTTGTGCAGTAGTTATAAACTCTAAAGGAACTCACAAGCAGGGGTTTGGGAACCTTTAAATGCACGTCATCCTCGAGAGGATATTCGTGTTAAGACTGCGTATATCGATGATACGCTTCGTATCATCGATACGTACGTCAAGTCAAGTAAATTGGCTCGCAACAACGTTTTTCATGTGTAGCAACGGACTAAAAAGGAGAAAATATAATACTTAAAAAAACTAAAAAGTAGAAAATAAAATGTATAAAAAAAATTTTTAAAGACCACGTTTTTCATGTGGACTCAAAAGTAGAAAATAATTTTACGGCAGCTACTGATCTCTGTTTGCTTTCATTCTTTTGGTCTTTTGTATTTCAGTTAAAATATTTTACAACATCTAAAACGAAAAACGTGGGGCGCATATGTATTTAATTGTTTGGTGATTACTTGATATGATGAATATGATGGTTCATTGAACATTTGATAAGTGTATTGCTGATATATCTGATTTGAGCAAATTTTGTTATTTACTGTTGGTATATTGATTTATCATGTTTCATCCAATATAGGTAGTTTGAAATGTGTATAAGTAATTCAAGCAAGTTAAGATATGAATCGTGAATAACGCAGGTCAGGGTATGTGAAATTTTTAAAAGAATCAAATTTTGAGAATTTTAAATGAACGCGTGGACTATATCTAATCAATTTAAGAGGCATATTAAGACATTTGAAAAGAAAATGCATTAAGTATCTAAATAGTTCACCATTAAATAGCTCACTATCAAATCAAAGGTATATGGAGACTAGGAGTAACGAATAGTGATAGAAAAATTCGAAATAGTGGTTGAATTCAAAATTGAAATTAAGGCATGCCTAAATGAAGATGCGCCCCACGTTTTTCGTTTTAGATGTTGTAAAATATTTTAACTGAAATACAAAAGACCAAAAGAATGAAAGCAAACAGAGATCAGTAGCTGCCGTAAAATTATTTTCTACTTTTGAGTCCACATGAAAAACGTGGTCTTTAAAAATTTTTTTTTATACATTTTATTTTTTAACTGTGCTGACTGTGAAGGTATTTTACTTGTTAATTTATTTACATGCAAATATTTCTGCTTAATTCGATAAAAATACGAACTTTGTTCCGTAGGCTTGACCGATTTTATTTGTTTGGCATCCACTTTTTCTTTGGCGATTAGTTTTGTTTTCGTGTACCTCTTTTATTTAAGCCATTGTACAACGTTCACAACACTGAGGTTTTGGGTTCACATTTTGTGGCTGTTGTTATGCAAGGATTTTCTTTATAATTGCGAAGCTTGTTAATTTCACACGCAGCTCAGCTGATATAATTGTTAGTAAGAGGTCAAATACTGTCCTATAAGCGCGTAAAAGTGAAAAAAATCAATCGCTTATTCTCTTAAAAGTTATTTTGAACTTCATTCACCGTGCAAAAGTATTTGTATCTTCCAATCATTCATAACTTGCATCGATATATGCATTGACATTGAATTGAAAATAATCTGCTTCCCTAACTACAATACGGTAGATGCAAGCTAATTATTTATTATTATGTAAATGTAAAGATGCATGGCATCTTATACAAGTGACATGAAAATTCATGTCGTTAGGCTCAAATCTAAATGTACCTCCATCGATGAAACTAAATGATGCCGGGTTCGATATTGGAGAATCCTTATTTTCTTTCTCTGAGAGATAATGCAACAACATTAATTTTATCTAGCATAAATGCAAATGTAGTTTAACATATCGGTTTTAATTTTTGTTTCCATGTAAATAATGTAAATAATATCCTTAAATGGACTGCTCTGATAAAGACTTGCTGCGCGGATTTATGCATTGCCTATATTCGATCTATATATTTAAGAGTATTGTGCACTCCCTCTGACCGACATACTTGGTAACTATGGTCCATAGGGATAGCCTTATATAGACCTCCCTTGTACAACCTGTCACTCATAAGTTAGTGTAAGCCTTCGCTGGAAAAAATAGACGCTAATCTCACCCAGGCTGTAATGCCAAAGTTTAAATTTCACTTTCTGACGCGCTGGTTCAACCCTTGGTCAATACCTGATTCAACCTCCTTCAACAGGGTGTCGATCCTTGTGATCGATTGCGCTATGACAGCTAGTAGTCGAGTTTAGCATATCACTTTCCAACAGGACTGGCAAATTCAAGTCCGGTAACTTAAATTCCTGCCGTCTGCTAATTACGTGATTCTTCTGAAGGTGCTGGGAAGTAAATGCGTCTATCTTTTCTCGCGATGTCATCTTCCTTGCGTAATTGAAAAAGCGGAAGTGTTTGATGTCGATCAATGTGATATGAGTAATGTTTTAAGATACATTTAAATAGTTCGCTTTTTTATTCGTAGGCACATTATGAGTATTGCTTGTTGTCGTCAATGTTAGTTTGTTGGTCGAGCAGTGGGGCACTTTTGTTATCATAACTCTGTACCCGTAATCGTGAACAGTGCTCAGTTTTTCTGTAAAAAGATAAGTTGTATGCTGCATAATTCCACCATGTACAGGGTGTTTCAGAATTAAGTAACCCTTTTAATTTGTTAATAAATAAAAAACTAAGAACGTTATGAAGTTGAAACTTGTTTTATTTAAAAGAAGAACATTTTCATGGTAATATTGTATCATAGTTACGTCGTTATCCTGTATAGCTTGCTAAATTTGTGTTTAATTATCAAGCCTTAAATTTTCATCATGATTCGCTACAGCAAAGAAGAAAGAACAAAAATTATCGCTACAGTCAATAACGATGTCAATAACAGAAGTTCAACGTGATTACAGGATCCATTTCAAAACAAGGATCCTTCAAAAAACACATTTAAATATCTTTATCGAAAATTTGCGGATATCAAAAATTTGCACTCTCGTCAGAAACACTAATGAAGGTTATGAAAGCAACGAAGAGAAGAGCCCTATTTTGTCAAAACAATTGTGGTGGGCATTTAAAAGATATTATATTTAAAAACTAGGATACAATATTACCATAAAAATGTTCTTCTTTTAAATAAAACAAGTTTCAACGTCATAACGTTCTTAGTTTTTTATTTATTAACAAATTAAAAGGGTTACTTAATTCTGAAACACCCTGTATATACCAGAGTTTAATACGGTTTCAATACGTTTTCCTATAGCTTGTAACTCAACTTGTGGGTTCTAGAGGGGGCGTACTTGATTCCTCTTTAACTAGCAAGTCATTTTTCTCCATGGTCTCTATTACATGGAAAATGTCTTGTAGATGAGTTACACCTTTTATCTAGCCTGTAACTAAAGGAAGTACAATTTTTTCTAGAGTTGCTCGAGCACGTAAGTTCGTTATATTCTCTAGTGATGTTACATGTAAATGGAAAACATCAGATTATATAGGCCGATGCATGTGACCATATGTCTCGGCTGCCGCTTTCTTCGAGTTGCTCTGAGGCTCAACATCGTCTTACAAAAACTGACTACGGCTTTAATCTCTCTGTCTTTTTTGTGTTATTTGACCGATAAAAAATTTAATTTTTTAAAATTTCGTAATTTGACCGATAAAAATTTAATTTTTTAAATTTCAAATTTTGTTGAATTTTAGTAGTTTTCGAAAAATGGAACTTTTTGCTCGCTCCTTTTTTAGGATTTTAGTACATTACGTCGTTTTTTAATTAATTGTTTCTTTAATTTATGCATTATCTATCTGGGAAATTCGGTGCGACCATTCAAGTATCTTAAATATCGCTATAGTTGTGAATAAATTTGTACCAAGTATTTCACATACCGACAGCTGTAACACCAACTTCGGTATCCGTTGTGCTAGATGCTTAGACACTTGTATTGCTTTATAACGCATTGCAGGTAAACTAAATAACAATTTTATAATACCAAACTATGAATTTGAATTACGAATAATCAATTCTTTTTTTTACTTGTTGGCAAAATAAATTAGTGGCTTTCAGTTTTACGAGGTATCTACCATCAAGTTGAGATTCAGTTAAGACTTGAAGTTTTCATTTATTTAGTCTTGTTCAAATAGCTGTAGTATCATGCATTTTCCCGTCAGCGTTAAGCTAAATTTAACAATGATTTTCTTTATAAAAAGTTGTTTGTTACCATGGTGCGTATTTCGTTTTTTAAGCGTTTGAAAGACAAACCTGGATGTGGATTTCTGATACCAACTTGAAAGTGGACTGTTATTCACCATAAATGTAGACTTCCTAGTCCCCTCTGACTGTGGACTGTCAAGTCCCGCAGGTTGTCTCAGAATTCCCTTCAGTTAATTAAATGAAATTGTTGGCTTAATTACGTTCCGTCAGGGATAATAGTATCGCTGTACATTGCTACGTTGTGCACGCTCTAAGGCATTGTACATAAGTAATACTCTACTCTGTACGTTTTGTGCCATTATACTTGTAATTACGAATAAAACGGTGTGCAATTAGAACATGCTTATCATTCTCCTTCTTTATGATTATAAGAACTGCATTTATTTTTATGTGTGGCAAAATCAATAACGAAAAGTTATATTTAAGTTGGCTGGAAAAACATTTTAAAGTAAATCAAAGCTTGGGGCAAAATTTGAATTTCGTCATTTTTCGAAAAACTTATCGATAATTTTCTCCTCTATTTTCAAAACGCTAATTTTCTGCACTGTAAAAAACTGCGAACTGGGTTAAGCGT